CTGCCTTATCATTTTCCACTAGTAACACTCCAACATGACTTTGGTAGAGTCTGTTATTGTTATTTGCTCATATAATAAAAGAAAACAAAATGCCACCAGCAAGTATGTTTAATAAAAGGCATAAATGAGGCTAATTAGTCTAATTGTAGTACTAAAAAAAGAAAACTATTTTTTCACAGCAAGCTTATCCAATGAGGCGTACACTTTGGTTGCTTTTATACAGAAAATTGTTGCATTTAGACCAGGAATGCATAAACAAAATGTGCAGAAATTTGGGAAAAATCCTCAGATTACTGTTTCAGTCCCTATATTACTAAATGGCTTTCCATGCAGCAATAGTAACCATAAACTGACATATATTAAACAGGCATTTACTAAAGGCTAACTGGTGGAAGTATTCAGCTGCACAAAATGGAAGGTTTTCAAAACAACTAATAATCAAAATAGTGGCTGTTCCATTTAAGTTTCAAATTCTCGTGCAATTTATATAATGTAGGTAGCATTATCCTTATATTAAAAACACAATAGACTAAAGGAGAGTCAACTAATTTGTCCACATTAATCTATTAAATAACTAATGTCTCATTCTGAGTACATCCTGGCTCAGTGCTATGTAATGGTTCAAAACTGTACCTTTATTGCCTTCCCCACAGTGTTGTGGGGAAGAAATACTAAACACAGAACTTGAATATTAATTAGAACATAGTGAAGGTGTTAAGCAAATTACCAATAAAATGTATTGGTATTTAAACATGGAGAATATATTTCTGGTATGGGTAAAATGATACCTTTAATCAAATAGTTAGACCATGTTGCCTTATTAAACTCTCTCAAAGCAAATCCATCGGGAAGGAATACCATCCTTTTAACCTAAAGTCTTATGGAAAAGTATAAACAATGAAAAGAGAAGATATTTGAAGTGACAAAAGTGTACTTTCTTTTTCATCTTCTCCATGTTGACCTTCAATCCTCTGTCACAGTTTTATGGTTTGCTCTGGGACATGCAGTGCTAGCTCATTTTGGAAACTGTTGATTTAGGAGGAAAAAAAAATCCATCAATCACACACAAATTTCGGGGGTCCAAGGTAATGGGGTGGAATAGGGACCCCCTTCTTTTCATTGCAATGTCAATCAGGACCAAGAAAGGCAAACAGGAATGACCGCAGTTGTTTTAGCAGAGAATGCAATAACAGGGAACAAGCAGATTCTGAAGAACTGAACAGGCACAAAGGGCACCTTGAAATAACTCAGGCTTCTGAGCAGGATGTAACTACCACCCGTAGTCCTGTGGAACAAAGAGAAGTTTTGATCACTGTGGATTAGATGCTTGGAGCGGTGTCCCTTGTGGAGTAGAAACCCAGACCTTTGAGGAAAAGACACTGTTCAACTGTCAGGGGAGCTTCTGGAACTCGAACAAGTCCCCAAGAAGCTGTGGTTCTGACATCTGAGGGAGGAATGTTGCCTTCTGGTGGTATTCCTAAGGCAAATCCATGAGCCTTGTGATGGGGTGCATGGGGTGGGAGGACGGAAGCTGGAACCAGTCACCACATTCCTGATGAAGCATGTTCCTGGATGAGGCTGTCAAGAGCAAGAACCAAACAGAAAATAACACAAATATGAAGAAGAGATGTGCCATCTGCAATCCCTTCAGCCCTTTTGCCTGGATTTATACATCCTTATCTAAGTAAACAAAATCAAAGAAGCACCTATTCAGAGATGCACTCATGGAGAAGTCAGAACTGTAAACAGTCCATCCATCAGATGCATGTGTCTACTCTCTAATAGCAACTCAAATGGGCGATACTGTAAGCTGTATTTTCCATTTGGGAAGAGCTGCTGCCATCTATGAACCACATTGTATGTTTGTATCTCCAAAATATGATTTCTAATTCTAGAATGTTCTTCTTCCTATGATAAAGATCTATATCCATAAGGAGGACAAACCAACACTGCCCCTTGGCTACTACAAATATCTTACATCATTATATGATACCACTCTAAAATTCGGTAAGACACTGCACTTTAGAGGAGAGTATTACAAGGTTCAAGAATGTACAGTGTTCTTCACAGAGGTGCGGTGTACATATTTTCAGTATAGAAAGCACTCCCTGAGGGTTGGATTGTATCTTTTTTTTCTCCTATGTTTTCTTGATTTTTGATCTTGGTTGCACCACATGTTAATTCAGAACTACTTTTTTAATTTGAACTATATTGAGTTTAGACTTGATTTCAGTAAAGAAAAGGTAAAATGCAGCATGACTCATCCAATAAAAAGAAGTGAGAGTCACCCTTCCTATTTGCAAGGCTTTCAACATCTGATTCAGACATCAAATTTTGAGTTAAAAAGTTGACACTTCAACTGCACTTTCCAGTTGAGGATACAGGTACTCAGGGATATTGAGATGATACTCCCGTGAACATACAGCCAATAAATGCAGTCAGCGCTGGAAAGTAGCTAAATGAGTGAAACAGCCACCATTGTGATAGAACCAAACATCCCAGAATGGCCAAACCAGGACTAAGAAAATTAATCAAAGCCAAGAAACAGCCCTCTCAGGAGCAGTAAAACATCTTTCAGTATTAAGAACATGAACACTTTCAAAAAAGAGTAAAATGAAAACGCTCAAAGTGGTTAGGATTGATAACAAGGGTACTGTTTTGTTTTGTTCTGCCATTTTGATTTACAGAAACAAAAAACAAAGTATTCAGGCAGATATGTGCTTGTTTGCTGTTTATGGGCTTGACTGAGACCTCCATGATCAATTTGTATAACAGCTTTGAAGAAGAGAAAATGCATACACAGGAAGGAAACTGTCTTAAAATTCTTTCCCACAGAATATGCCTACTTGTTTTAATTGAAGTAACACATCAAACAATTTTAAGGTCAACAAGGGAAATAAGTGTCCAGATTCTTCATGTTTACTTTCCTTATGCAATCAATGATTGTACTGCTTCCACAATTTCTTTATGATTTTGTGTTTGTTTTACAAGTTGAAAGTATATCAAGCACTTACTCCTTTATTTCTGTCGTAAAACTATGGTTTCATATGCTCTTTAATTTGTACATTTTGCTATTCATAGGAACTTATTCATAGAATTATTTCTATATGTTTACCACTACTATCAAAACTATAATACTCATATATATCTTGTTAAGTGCTTGTGGTTGTTAATATTGTCAACTTGAAATGATATGGAATTACCTAAGAGGCAAATCTCTAAGTACATTTGTGAGAGATTGTTTAAATGTGGTTAGTGTTCTGATTAACTTTTATTGTCAACTTGACAACATCTAAAGTCACTTGGTAAGAGGGGACCTCAGTTAAAGGATCACCTCAATCAGATTGGTCTGTGGTCATGTCTGTGAGAAACTGTCTTAACCAATGAGTGTTGTGGGAGGACCCAGTCTACTATGGGCAGCACCATCCCTAGGCAGGTGGTTCTGGGTATAAGAAAGCTGCCTGGGCATGAGCCAGGGAGAGTCAGTAAACAGTGTTGCTTCATGGTCCTGCTTCAGTTCCTGCTTGACTTCCTACCCTGACTTCCTTCAGTGATGGACTGTGACCTGGAAGTATAAGCCTTATTTAAACCTTTTCTTCCCTCAAGCTGCTTTTGGTCAGAGTGTTTTGTCACAGAAAACTCTCTAGGTATTCCTTTGAAAGATTATCTTGATCAGGTTAATTTAGGTGTGACCATTCCCTTGGCTTGATTCTGAACTGCATAAAAAGAACACTGACTGAGCACAAGAATTCTCTGCTTCCTAACTCCAATACAGCTTGACAAGCAGCCTGGAGCTTCTGATATCAAGACCTCCCTACCATGATGGACTGTCCGCTGGGACTGTGAGTCAAAATAAACCCTCTGTCTTTATGTTTCTTTTGTCAGGGATATTCTGCGGTAGCAAAAGGAAAAGTAAACTGAAATAGTATTGATTTGGTTTTGTTTTTTTTCTGACCAGTTAAATGTATAGAAAATCAAATTATGTTTTGTACTGATGTCTGTTCTCCTGAGAACCAGAGAGTTTTCATGTGCTTATTGGTCATTCGTATTCTCTTTGTTATGACTACTCTACTATGATCTTTGTCCACTTTTCCCCCCAAGTGTTTTTCTCAAGTTAGAATTTTGACTCTCAGAATGTCAATTTTGCTCTATTTTTTCCATTTGCCTGCACATTGTAATCAAATCTAAAACCCACTGAAAAATGTTCTAGCCACAAACTATTAAAATCATTGTTATCGAATTTCTAATAGTTTTATTTATTTAAAATGTAGATTATTAGGGCCGGAGAGATGGCTCAATGGGTAAAGGCACTTGCTGACAATCTTAACAACTTGAATTTGATTCCCAGAACCCACATGGTGAAGGAAAGAACCAACTCTCACAAGTGTTGTCTGACTTCCACATACATGTTATGACATGCATGGAGAATGAGAGCAAGAGGGAGGGAGGGAGGGAGGGAGGGAGGAAAGGAGGAAGAGAGAGAGAATAAATGTAATAAGATGTGGGCTATTAATTTGGGTATAATTAACTATGTTTTGTCGCTTCTTATAATTTATTATGATTATATCAACACAATTCATCAAATGACTAAGTACTTTTCCACTTGAGTCCAAATGCCAGCTTTGTCTCACACTCGGATGCCAACTCCATGTGGCTACATTTAGGAATTCTACCTGTGAGGGGAACCTGATGATGTATTGAGACCACTTTGTAAGATGGATTAAAGGAATAGAATTAGAAAGGACATTGTTTATGTTCTTGCAAATGGTCCTCAACAGTCATGGAATTGTTTTAGAAAGTACATTAAAACCAAGGAGCTAGAACTGGAATTGGAATTATAAAAAAATGGAGTAGTTGTTTAATAATGAAGCAAGTAAAATAAGCAAATTAAGGCAACACAGACTTTCCAGATGAACATAATGAATTTTCATAACAGACAGAGAATAAACAATCAAGCTATTAGTGAAAATTTTGCTACTATCTTTTTTTTTTCTTTTTTTCAGGGGAGAGCTCGAACGCAGTCCCCAACTACCACAATTTATACAGTCCAGTTTCCCACATTTGGGGAAATCACAGGGGTCAGCACACCCAGAGTACAGTGGATAAGCCTCACCCTGGGAAAACCACCTTCGTGATCGTGGTATCTCCCCTGCCAGGTAAGTATAAATTTTGTTACTCTCTTAACACTTTTGGTAGCCACACTTACATTTGGAAAAAATAATACAACATACACATAAATAATTCTTGAATGGGGATTGTGTATCCTAAGGCTGTGACAAATGAATCAACTCAAACTGGCTTGAACAAACAAGGAGATATATTAGTTCACAGTACTAAAATGTTCAAAAGTTGCTGACTTCAGGTGTGGCATGATCTGGAGGATCGTGGTATCATATCTTGAATCTTCTTAAACCTCTTTGAAGGGGCTGGAGAGATGGATCAGTGGCTGATGAGCACTTGTTGCCCTCACAGAAGACACACTGGTTTGGCTCCCAACACCCACATAGAAGCTAACAACTGTAACTCCATTTCCAGGAGATATGACACCCTCTTCCGGTCTCTGCAAGTGTGGCATGACATGGATGCACTTACATACATTCCAGCAAAACCCTCCTATACATTAAATAAACAAGTAAATAAAAATTTTAAAATGTCTTTGAACATCTCTCTTGTATTTAACTGTTAGCAGAGCAACATCAAGAAACACTAATGCAAGTTTACGTTCTCCCAGGATCAACATTAGCAGAAGCAGTTTGTCTAGTCTATAGCTTCCCGAACCTATCGGTCACTCTACGGGAACCAATGTTCATGTATCCAACCTTAAATCAACTTCTAGAGCTAGGAGATAAGAGTAGAATCTGCCCAACTGCCTGACCCATCATATTCTTCTTCCTAGATAAATTACTCTGACAAGTCCTAGATCACACACCAGACATTTTTGACTAGAAATGGAATCCCATTATCATCACTTAGATAGAGAGTAGAAAATTTTGTGTGGTGACAAATGATAGAAAACTGAAACTCAAATATCTATAATCAGAATTAATGTTGTATCCCTAATCTAAGAGTCTTCATTGTCTGTGATTTTCTAAGAGAGGGAAGCTATTGCAGAAAAGATCAAGACACTCTGTTTCCTAAACTCTTCAGACCCTCTCCTAGCTTCCTGATAATTATGACCATCTTGGCAAGCAGCTGTAAACTTTCATAATATCAAGACTGAAATTTTCTTAAGTAAATATTAGTTAATGATCAAGGTGGAGAACATTTATCTTCACTGGAAAGATCAAGGGAATTTATATAGAAGGACAGCAAGAAAGGAAGGCTGCAGGTATTAATTAGCTACCCACATGTTAACTCTGTGACGTCTTCGCCACATCCCTTCTTCACCCTGAACCATTACATCTTTATTCCAAATAAACATCCATTCATGTCAGTACTCTAAAGGGGTAACTGGGAAGAGCATGGTAGACATGAGTGACTTGGGAAGAGGAATTTTAATCTCTACAACTTTCATAATTAAAAAAGAAGTAATTTACCAGCTCTAAATGTTAGCAATACTTTTGAGATACTTTTCACTTGTCTTTCTTGGGCCTATAAGTTTTCTTCTCATACTATTCCAGGCATTATCCTTCCTATGAAATGGCCCTGGCAGCTCCAGGAACTTTCTGAAATGTGTAAGCTAACAACTGGAATTCTGATCGTCTTTCTAGATGGCAAGCAGACCTTAGACATCTGCTTTAGATCTGAATATTCACTGATACTCATCAGGGACTACTGAGGTGCTGAAGACGGAGGGCTAGGCACAGATGACAGGGCATATCCCTATATTTGCCTATTACCTTTGTCTGTCCAAAAGAATCTTACCTTCTTTGTAAGCATAGTGCCATTCTCTGACAAATGCTAAGTTAGGCACAAAGAATGCTGATATTTAACAGGCATGTTACACCCATCCCAGTTCTGTGATCTCATTTTTACCATTGATGATGCCTTTTAAGTCACATCTTAGCAGCTTTACAAAACTGGAGTTCACTTCCTTGGGGAATCCAAACATCATCCTGAGTTTCACCAGAGAAATGAGGCCATGGTCTCATTATTAAAGGGAAGTTCCCACAGAGAAAACAGAGTCCACCCCTCCCCAGCTTTTTTTGTTTGTTTTTTTTGTTTGTTTGTTTGTTTGTTTGTTTTTTAGTTAGTTCCTATGTGATCTGTCTGAGTGGATAGGCAGCCTTGATCTGCAAGGAAATGGTATCCAAAAATAGATGGGTTCTTTATTATCCAAAACATCTTTGGAAATGTGCAGAACAGTTTGAAGCCAAGCCCTATAAAGCAGAATTCAGCATTAGAGCCTACGTTTTCTTTTACGGATAGAAATAATTGGAAAAAAATGTAGCTTGAGATTGAGGGTTTAGAAAATGGAACTAAATAATATCTACCATTTGCTACGGAAGGGTTCCATATGAATCAGCTGTGGCCTTAGGCACTTAGACATGTTTTTTCATTTAATGTGCAGACAGAGCAGTTCTGTTATATATTCTATTATATCTATTGTAAAATGGAGGGGAACCACAACTCATGGATATGTGATAATTACAGCAAGAGATAGGATGTGATTCCCAGTTTAAGTAACTTCAAATGCCTGAATCATTACAGGGTACTAGACACTCCTAGGAGTCTGAAACTTATTAAGGTCCAACTAAAGCATGCCTTCAAATGACTGAATAACCCAGAGCATTTGCTGTACAACAGAGAAATAACACAAGCAGGGTGTTCTAAACCAGACGTAGAGAAATCTGGTGACAAATTTTGTCATCATTATTGACAAAGTCAAGCCATGTACTGGTTTGTAGCCACTGTGGATGGTATTTGAGAAACACTCAGATGAGAGTGCATTTCCAAGTTCATTCTACATGTAGAAATTCAATTCATGGCTTTATCTTTTCACTGGAATATTTCAATTGCTCTGCCTCTGAAGGGCCCAATTACATGAAACTGATACGTAACATTCTGAGATCATGTCTGATTACACAAGCAGCCATCAGAAAGAGTAAGGAAATGATGGTCAATTTGGTTTGGCTGATTTGAGTAACAAAAGGTTTTATGAACTTTAATGTCTACCATTACACAGTTTTAGCTTCTCAAAACTGAAGCTTCTAAAATACATACTAGTCAAGGCTTAAAATACCTATCATTTCTAAATCCTCTGATGACATTAAAAGAAACAGAAAATCAATTTCAACACTAGAATTTCAGAACATATATAGTAAATACAAGACAACTATAATCATTTAAATTAATTCTTAAATCCAGCACAAGAGATATTCAAAATCGGATCTTTTTAAAAGGAAAGAGGGAAGGAAAATGAATTTTATTTCCCTTTCAGAACGTCATTCTTTGCAGGTACCAGACTGTCAGCTCAAGACCAGACAGACGAAGTGATTTGAGGTCAATTACTATAAAACGTGAGAGTTGAAAATAAAGCTAGAAAGCTTGTGAAGAGACAACCAGATCCTTCTTCAATCAGCTCAGTTTGTCTCACCTTGGCTGCTCATCAGACTCTCCCAGGAAACTGAATAAATCCTGATATACAAGTCACACCCAAGTTCAATTCCATCAGAATTCCAATGATAGGATCCAGCTATTGGCATTTTTGCTAAACTTCCTACATGATGCAAAGAGCAGCTGCAGTTAAAAATCAGAGTTGTCGGTAAGAGGAAAAGAGAAGCCCGATATTGGTCCTTCTTGCAGGCTTCTAGGCTCCAAAAATCACAGTAGACTGTGAGAATCAGTAGCCTTGCCTGAAGAATCAATTCAGGTCAATATACCCACATTTTACCTCTCACATACAAAGATCCTATTCCTTGCCTTAAGGAGTTTGTGCCTAGTTGCTAGATGTGATTTACAACCAAGATAATTGATTGTCGTCCAAGGCAAGGGGAATAAGCAAACCTGTGTTCCAAACAGCGAAGAACATGGGAATACATAGAAAGCCTCATTCTTAGACAGATGGAAGTCAGAGGAGAGATGCAAAGAATCCAAGCTGCTTTTATGGGAGAGATGTCATCCAGGGAAAGATTTTTCAGGGAAGGAACTGTGGACAAAGAGGTAGAGGCTGAGAAGCAAAGAACAAATTTTTAGTTGGTGGGCCAAAAAACCAGAACATGGATATCAAAAGAACGGGCTCAGGCGGTTCAAGGAGATTCTCTTAGAGATGTACAAACAGCTCTATCAGGTCTGGTATTTGCCTTTAGGATCCCAATTGTCCCAGCAATTACTGTCAGACTTTAAAGTTATCACTTAACATGCACAGTTCCCTAAAAGGGAACAGTTTTAAAAAGCCCACTTTCCCAGAGACATCCTGCTGCAAAGAAGTTGATGAGGTCAACAGAGCTATCCCTTGGGCTTTCTAGGTCTCTATTAAGCTCATAAAAGAGAGATTTCACACTGCAGAAAGCTCATTTTTATTTTACAGATTTATGAGGGGAACCAGTCTGACCGATGAAAATGTCAATCAATTCCTGTCTTAAAAAAATGAGCTGAAATGAGAGGTCAGCCAGAATGGAGAAGGTTGTGATCCATGTAGGAAAACTGAGCACAGAGGTTACAGGAGAGGGGGAAACTGGTAATGAAAGCGAATGTGCTGTAAAAGCCCAAGTAATTAAATCTTCTTCAAAATATGCATCAAATTTCACAACTATAATTTCCCATGCTGCCCCTCATGAAAAGGTATGATGGTTATTTGCTCAAAGCCATGTAATTCTTAAAATATAAAACCCATCAGTATTTTGGCCAAGAGTTGCACTGTAGGTTTTATAAGATGCATAGTAACCCAAGGATGTGTATATACATCACACATCTGAAGGGCTCTGGTGGTTTCAATTTATTATGTGTTGAATGTTCTGGAATGCTTAGGATACTAGAGACATTTTTTTCCCCGAGTCTGATTACATGTATCCAATAAAACAGTGACAGCTCATTAATAAGACTCAAACACCACTTGATAGGATGTCACAAACTAGAGTCATCACATGACAGAGAACTGAGATCAATATGTACACTCAGAGCTAACATTACTGGTTAGGAAATGGGATGCAGAGTATTCTTTTTTTATTTCAATTAAATGGACCTGCAGACAACTGATTAACTATTTATCTGCTACCTATAAGA